CCAAAATTCATTTTTATTTACTTTGGTTTCTAAAGTTTCGAGTATATTTATTTTGGTTCTTTAATTTCCTGTATTTTTGCAGTTTAGTCCCTAATATTTTTTGTCATTTTAGCTCTTTTTAATTTCCATTAATTACATTTTATTGCCTTAAATGATGTATTTTGGTATTTTAGTTTGGTTTGTAATATTTAATCGTTTGCTTTTCAATCCTTAATACATGTATAGTAAGTGTTCTTATTTAATATTGTAATATTTTATTTGTCATTGGCAATCATATTTGTTTCTATTTTATTTCCTTAGTTGTTAATTTCATTCAAATATTTTTCAAGAACATGAATTTATAGAACGGGCGTGGAAAGTATCGCTTGATCGAAGGGGTACAATCCGATACGACGTTCAAACGGAATAAAAAACGCAAATTCTTCCTTTTACAAGCTTATAGAAATTATTTTTATTGTTATTTTATTTTTTGTTAATTTATTTGATGTTCATATTGTTTAATATTTAAATTTTAATCTTTATTATTATTTCTTCATTGAATCTTAATATGAGTGATATATGCTTTGGAAAAGTATAGTGTGATGCATTATGTCAATTTTCGTCATTTTTTATTTAAAGAGAAATATTCTTTACAAGTAAGAAATAGACGAGGTAGCTTTCCCGGCGGAGGATTGCAAATCTCGGGATTTCTTATCGAGAAAAGGATTTTTTTATTTATTTATAACTAATATTCAATAAATAAATCATAATTTATTTATTATTCTATTTTCATATTTTTTATTGTATTAATGGTTGTTATGTTAATATTAACGATACATAAATTAAGCATATTGTATCTTCTACTTATGACGATATTATTTAGGGGTAATTAAAAGATAGGACATACTTTATAGATAAGAAATAGATGAGATAGCTTTCCCGTTGGAGGATTGCAAATCTTGAGATTTCTTACCAAGTGAAGTATTTCTATTATTTTAATTTTAACAAATATTCAATAAATAGATCATATTTTTTTTACTTCATATTCAAATTGTAATTTCCACCATTTACGACGATGTGTAAGCGACACAGTACCAATTTTGGGCGTTGTGGGGGTGTTTATCCTTCCCCACACGTAACCGACTCCCGAATCCATTTTAATTGAATCTTTGGTAAACGCAGACTATTTTTGTCTTAAAAATGATCTTTCTTAAAATTGTTTTAAAAGACGTTTTTAGGTATTCGGCCTACCTAACCCAAAGGTCGATGGCGACTCTATTCAATTTAATTCAAATTAATTACAAATCACCAATTTTTCCAAAATAAAGTCGTAATCGTTTTTAAAATAATACAGAATTGTTTTACAAAAAAAATGGTTATGACACTTTATTATACATATAATCTTTTATTAAACAATTATATATATATATATATAAACTGTCGATAGACCCACATGCTTATGACCCTTGCATGGATCATTAGTGCACAGTTTGCATGAACCTAGATGTGATCCAGGCAAGGGTCATATAGACAAGATTCTTTTCATATATACGAATACCCGAAAGCAGAGAAGCTCGTTACCGATTCTACTCTAAATATACGCATAACGCACAGCGCTCTTACGTATAAAAATCTCTCTCTCTGGGCAGAGATATGTCAGTTCACGTTTTGAACCCCCGGAGACTTTGACTCGATCGACACTCTCACTAAAGCATTCTATCCCTAAGCACACAATGTAAACGAAATGGCTTTTGGGGTTTGATAGAAGGGAGCCACAAATGTGAACCCCCTAACCTCATTGCTGCTTCTGTTTCCACTACGGATTAGGTTCGGATCTAAAAATGCAAACTGAGTCGACTCCTCGCTCGTACTCATCCTCAACCACAACCTACTTTCGGTCGAAAGATTCTGCAAAGTGATTGCTAGTGGTACGGAAGCAGGGAGTCCTGGAATAAAAGGAAGAGGGTTTTCAGAATCATTACCTGGAACTTCTTGTTCCGAATGTATGTACCTGCGAGTTCCGAATGTACATTCTTCGAGAATGTATATTTTTCATAAAAGATGTTATAACATTGCTAAAACAATGTCCTCAAAGGGAATATTTTCCCCAAATATAAGTGTGAATCTGCTGCACCGCCCAAGCAGCTTATTTAAAACCCATTCCATAGCTGTTTAAGAACAAAGACACATGGTCTACAGCAACCCCACAAATCAATTCATGATTTTGACTCAAAAACCTTTTAAGGCTTTTTATCAAACAAGTAATTTACAATTTCAACCATTCATGCTCAGCTCTGTATATAGATACGAAAAAAGAAAAAAGCAACCCATGTTTTTCATCCTCCAAGTGCAAACTTACAATCTAATAAAAAAAAGTAATGAGTCGGTGATGGTGAAGAAAGAGGAGAAGGGGTAAGACAGTGGTGGTAAAGAAAGAGGAGAAGGGGCGAGACGGTGGTGATAAAACCAAGGAGAGGAGGAGAAGGGGATTACCTGGTTGGCGCCCGGCGGTGGTAACTGCTGTGACTGCCGACGAAGAAGAGATCGTGCGTGCGTCGTGCGAAGGGATTCTTTAAACAGGTAGGCTTTTTTTAGTTTTCAAATTATAATTATTTATTAATAATAAAGGGTGAAAACATATACCATAAGCGCATAGGCGCTGCACCTGGCGCCCGACTCGGCGGCGCGCGCCTTTCGTCGCCTATCGTATGTGAGCTCGTCCAGACCCAGGCGGCCACAATTTTCTGCGCGAGGCGCCTTTTAAAACCTAGTGCTTCATTAGTGCAGCCTAACGGTACCAATGACCAAAAATTCTTGACCTTTTGAAATATAAGGTTTACATCTTTTCTTAATTCTGAATGCTCCCCAGCTCGTATTCTGCCTGAGCAACTGAATTTCCTAAACCCGACTGTTTTTTATGATGATAGTCAGAGGTCCCTCCACTATTTTTCCAGAAGGGCGTACTGGCAGGACTATCAACTGTGGAACAGAGATTAATTGGGGCATCACCTTCTATTGTCAGCAATGTGTCTTTTATTTGAAGTCAGCAAGAGAAGTTGTTGAGGATCTACTGCACTTGGATAAATAAGTCAAAAGCATCTCTAGGTTCATGATATCGCTTCAAGCATGAGAGATTCTCCCAAGCCATGTAACTGCATAAGAAAATATTCTAGGAGGAATAACACCAACATCCTTTTCATGTGAAAGTGGAGCTGAGATTGCCAGCACAAGAAATGCTGCAGCCCTCTTACCATCAAAGCCCAATTTGCCTCCAAAAGTTGGTTCCAACTGGTGTAAGAAAAACAAGGTAAGGAAATTGAATGATCAATGTCATTTCACAAATAGTCACAACATAAGACAGCAATATAGCGATTGACCACATTGCTTCGATGATTTCTTGACTTCACTATTTTAATCAGGTTGAATATTCTATGTTTCTTAATATGTTATCCTGTAAAAGTTATGTCTGTTAGGTGTCTGAAATTATTTAAAAATTGGAAAATTCTGCACAAGTAGTGGAAAAGTCCATGGAAACATAAAATTCTTTGTCTATGGAACAACTGATGCATCATTTAGAAGATATTTGCAGTCTCGCTGTATAAATTTCTATAAAGGAAAACTTGGTTGTGATTTTGTGATGATACTATTCTTTTCATGGTTGAGCAGATACCATCACCAAACTGGAAGCAATACATAAAATATCGTTAAAACCCAGCTAACCTCTGGAGAAACCTCCTCGATAATGTGAACTGTGAACTTCCCGTGGTTTCTCCCAATATGAAATAGAACAGAGAAGGCATCAACTTCATCCTGTAAGCAGGCAAAAAGCAATAGCCGATGGTTATAGATGCTGGGCTGATATTAACGCACAAAATTGAAAATATAGAAGGCGAAGCCCAAAAGGCCACTTGGAGAAGCAAACGGATAAAAGGGAACAACCTGTGGATATGTCTCCAAATTTCCAAGAAGGCCATCAATACACAATTTAAACAACTCGAACTGCGGCAACTTTGCTAATTTGAGTATTAGACCGATCGATCACTTTGAATATTTAATTATTTTTCTTGGAACTCCTCACTTCCTTTCAAAAAAAAATTTTGTGCTGCAGTATGTTAAAATTAGTCTTCTTCTCGGCTGAAAGGCAATGGTAGATACTTGTTTTGCTGTGTATATATATATATATATATATGGAGTTAGGATCCACTTACACAATGTAAAACTCTTTATTTTTATATAGATTCAGGACCGTTAAATAGGTGAAAATAAATGGGTGAGATTGATTACTTATTTATTTTTTCAGTAAATATCTTCACATTTTCTATTTTTAATCTCAGTCATCTGTTTTTACTCATCCAACGGTCCTAAATCTTTGTAAAACTACAAAAGTTTTACATTGTGTAAGATAAGGAACCATATCTTTGAAGAAAGACCCTTTGTTTACCTTCTAATCCAACTACATTTGTTTCCTATTGGTTTTGTCAATTTGAATTCTAGGAACTAAACTTGGTTTTGTTTCTTGTTTGGACGAGTGTTTTGCTGCATCCTTGCAGAAACGTTTGTAATAGTTACCTGAGAATCGGATCAAATTTAGGCTGGATAGTGCTTAGTGCCTGGAGAGTTTTGCATGTCCTAAATGCCTAATAGCCTAATACTGTAATAGTTACCGGCTCCGTGTCTATTTTACTTGTATCCATTGTAGATCTCCGGGGCATGTAGTAAATGTTTTAACTGGTGTTCTTGTACAATACTTCCGAATGGCTGCCTGACCTTCCCATTGAGAGAAATGGGCTCTTGGTTCAAGTGATTTATGCTATCGTAAACGAAAAACTTGGTCGTTTCAACCAAGGACTTGATGCTTGTTTGGTTTGGTCCTAGACAAAGAGCAGGAAATGTTTAGAACTTGCCGAAGACCTGTTTAATCAGTAAGAAACCAGATTAAAAAATCCTTTTTTAAATTCTATATAATTTTTTTTTCTGAAGTTATACTAAAGACTACCACTAAGACAAATGAATACGTTTCTTAACCTCGTTTTGTCTACTATTAACATGTTAGAAGGAACTGTATACTGTTTATAGTAATGCATGTTTATCCACGGCATGTGATATATTGTTGTTCGTATGCAGTATGTGATGATTGTGTTGAAGGGTTCAGTGCCCATGTCATTTGGTGGTACTGAGCAGCCGGCTGCCTATGGTGAGCTGATATCCATTGGCGGCCTAAATCCGGATGTGAATAAGAAACTGAGTGCTGCAATTTCTGCAATTCTTGAAACCAAGCTACAAGTTCCCCCGTCACGGTTCTTCCTCAAATTCTATGACACCAAGGCAAGCTATCTATACTTGCTTAATTGTCACGATGATGGGATATCGTCGTCTATTTGTCTCTTCTCATTGCATTTCCCTGTTCGTTTAGGCGCAACAAACCCAATAATATGCACAGTGTTTGCATGCTTTACACCAGCACTAGATAATCTAAATAGATCTTTTCTGTTGCGTACTGTGAGCATAGCTCTCGTTAGCTTTCTTGTGAGTGCAACTTATGCCGTTTCTTTGGCCCGTGATGATACTTAGCACCCCTTTGTGGCCCTTGCTGCTTGATAGTGCTGATCTTTGATTGTTTTGCAGGGTTCCAACTTTGGATGGAATGGATCAACCTTCTGAGTTTGGCGATGTCTGAATTTCTCGAAACATCGATATTGTCTTTCAGTATGCTTTATTTCTTTTGTGACTTGCCGTTTGAAAAAATTCAGCAATTTACTTTATGGCATTATGTCGTTTATCTATGTACTGCATGGTAATTTGTTTGAGTTTTGAGATAATGTTTAACCATGTGCTATGTACTGCATGGTTTGTAACGGAATAGCGACACATGCAGCACATAGCACATGGTACATGATTAAACATAACCCCAAAAAGTTATCAATTTGAGTTTTGAGATACTGTTTAACTAAAATGCAGCACATTACACATGCCGTATCTTAAGAGTTTTTTCAGTGGGACCCTTTTCAGTGGGTTGGTAACTTTTTACTTGACTTGCGCCGTATGCAACTGAGCAAAGATGTGGTCAAATTAAGCCCACTGAAAAAGGTCCCACTCCTAATTTTGCAGGTTGAGGTTATTCATTGTTTAAAAACACAAGAAACTTGAAATACAAGAAATGATATATATTGCATTAATTTTGAACCCCGTTTCCATACGTTGGAGTAGGGGCAAGCAACGCTGCTGCAGACGGGCACATGTTGGGGTACGGGCAACGCTGAGCAGCTGGCTGTGCCTGTCTGGTTTTATATTAAGCCTAGTAAAAGGAGTTCAGCAGAGGCACATGGCAAACCTTGAATCCCACTGAATGCCAGAATAAAACAGACAAAACCAAAGCCTTTCCCTGGTTTTCGTATGAGAGGTGTGGTTTGATGATATAGTCGGGATTCGATCTCCAGTTATGGATACGGCAAGTTCCCGTAACGAGGGATAACCGGCATGGGGTAGGAGAGTTCCGTAACGAGGATTAGTCATTCCTCGTCACCATGGAGGTATAATGGTATTACCGTGAAATGAACTGTTAGAAATGAATGGAAATAAAGTAACAAAAATGAAAAAAAAAAAACTTGATCTTGTCGTGTAAGAAATTTTAAACACTCAAAATCTGAAGTAGAAACCGATTATACTACTCTTGCTGGAAGAAATTTTGTGAAAACAAGAGGGTAGGAGAAAACTCGGAACAGAAAACCTACGAATTTCGAGAAGCTTGGAAAGAACAAACCAGATATTGCTAGAGTAGGAGCCCTTCCGTGCAATGCAAGGGTAAAGTCCTGCAACTGCAACAACCCTATTTTACATATTTCTTTCATTTCACAGCTGCCCCCACGTGTGAGCAACATCGATTCTCTTCTTGTTTCCAAAAGAATTTGAAGAGAGGAGTAGCAAAGGCAAAGCCAAGGATTTAACAGGAGGGGAAAAGTTTAGTAATACGTACCTGCCTACATGGGGTTTTCTTCAAGAGCAAGAAGAAGCGATGAAACTCAGGATGGATAGCGCTAACGAGGATCAAAATACACACGGAAAAAGGCTTGAAGATCATCAATGGCGCTATCCCTCCTGAGCTTAACAGATTCTTCTATACTAAGATATCTTCCTACTTTTACAATTCTGGCTGAATAAACCTAGTAGATATAAAAGAAAAAAAAGGAAAGCAGGTCAATGCCCGGCATTTTTACCCAAAAATCATCTAAATATTATAATATTACTTGCCATACACCGTTTCTCCAAATTTTACAAATCTAACACTCTGTTAATTTTACAAATCTAACACTCTAACAGAGTGATAATAAGGCGCGTCTCCTAGAACACGTTTTTTAAGAAAAATATTGACATGTCGCCACGTCTCAAGAAAAATATTGACATGCCACCACATCTCAAGAGGCACACCTTCAAGAGTTTTCTTGGTCTTTCCTAAAAGCATATTAAAAAAATATACTTTAAAAAATTTGAAAAATAAAATTATAGAGACTGATAGCATAGTTTAATACATATTAGTTCATGAGTTGAAGAGTTTAAGGGTGTTAGTTTCTGTAGGCATATTGGAGTGTTTAGCTTATGTTTCTTGACAATGTGAGACAAAAGCTAAAAGGTGTATTCCTTAACTTTTTTATCTATATATCTAATGAATACACTTATACACTATTGTTAAATTACATTAGGTTAATATTTATTATTAAAATTTATATTAATTAAGATTATATATTTTTTTATATGTTAATATATTTAAATACTTATTTTTTAATTATGAGTTCAAAGTAAATATTGAACACAGAGAATAGTAGATAAACAACAACTCAAATAAACAATTGAGAGTAATCCTAGATGTTAGTCAAAATGCAATCACTTTTTACACAATTTAAAGCATCATGCAAGCAATTGAACATAAAAGAATGCAAGTAAAAGCAGATAATAGTTGTTCAAGAACTTTCAAATTACCCTAGTACCCATAAACAATTAATTCACAAGTATCTACCTTTCTGGTAGAAAATCATGTCACATACTACTTGCAGGAAACAAACACTCATTGTAAGATTTATGGATAAATAACAATGGTAAATGACAGGGTCGTAGCTGAGGCGACGCGAACTGCGTGACCGCACAGGGCCCCCAAAAATAGCCCCAAAAAGTATATATATAGTGGCGTTTTTCCAATAAACGCCACTATAGATGGACCTATTGCGACGTTTTTCAAAAAACGCCACTTATTGCGGCTTTATTAATAAAACGCCATTATAGATGGATCTATAGCGGCGTTTGTCAAAAAAAAAAACGCCACTATTATTGTCCTGAAATCGAATATATCTAAAAAATAAGGATCCCTTTATAAGAATTTGTATATAGTCCCCGAAAACCCAGCCACGACCCTGGTAAATGCATACCTATATGGTATGTGTTTATGAGTTTGAAGATCCCTATACTTTTTAGCAAGGTCGTAATCCATGACATACATCTGTTACAAATCAATGTGATGATTAGTAGCAAGTCAAGACATTTAGTTAATGGGCCTTTGCATAACAAATATATACAGTTACAATAACATTTGGAATATACAGTTATCGACTATTGATACAAGTAGAAGAAACTGAAACAAACTTCAATACATAATCAGAATTGACCTAAGGCGTCGACATGCAATAATATTTGAATGAAGCTCAACATAAAAAACACAATTAACCCAATAATTAACCCAATAAGAGGTTATCACGATAAACTTTTACTTGCCCGCGTGTTATTCTAATATCTCAATTTAACGCTTATTTGAAATAAATAATTGAATCATATTGATGCAAAAATACTTGTGATTCCACAAAAGAAAATCACACAGATGCATTCGCGATACAGGATCTTGTAGACGTCCTTTCTTTAAACTTCTTGGTTACCATGTATCAGAAATTGAACCATTGAAAGTCACAATTCACACAAAAAAATATTAGTTTTTACTCAGGAAACATGAATATTTTTTTAAACTCTCTTATGGAAGTCTGAAACTACTAACTGCTACAGTTATGGGTGTGAACCATAATGTCTTATTATTGATGGATAATCTTAAGAACTACTTATCGATATTAGCATATGTCGATGAAATATTTTTAATTTGTGTTACATAATTTTTTTGAATTCATAATTAAAAAACAAGTATTTAAATATATTAACATATAAAAAATATATAATCTTAATTATTAAACCTTAATAATAAATATTAACATAATGGAATTTGACAATAGTGTATGAGTGGATCCAATAGATATAGAGATAATATAAAAAAGTTAAGGAATACTCATTTTAGCTTTTATCCCACATTGTCAAGAAATACTCCAATATGCCTATATAAACTAATACCATTAGACTCTTCAACTCATGGCACTAATATGTATTAAATTACATTGTTGATCCCTATAGTTTTATTTTTTTTAAATATTTTTTTAAATATGCTTTTAAGGAATCTGATGTCACAAGAAAATGCCTGGAAGGTGTGCCCCTTGAAACACACATTCTCACGTGGTGTTATTTCAATATTTTCCTTGGAAAGCGTGTTAGGGGATACGCCTTTGGTCCACCTAAACAAAGATGCGTTTCACATAACATGTCTTATTATTACTATGTCAGAAAGGATGTTAAATCGGTAAAATTTGAAAAAAATGTGTCTTATAAGTAATATTATAATATTAGAGTTATTTTTGAGTAAAAAGGCCTAATGCCCCTGCTCTGATATTGTAGGTGAGGGAATTAATAGAAATGCAGTCTGTATTTATAATAGCAGCAGCCGCAAGCACGTGGGGGGAAATTGCAGTTGCAGTATATTATATAATATAGACATATATAATCAATCATTAGTGTTATTAAATTGAATAAAGGATATTTTTATCAGAATTCTACGTATCGATTTAAAAATCGTCAAGGAAAGTAGCTATTTATAGTACGGGAGAATTAATTCATTTTGGAGCCTGTAGAAAGCATGACAAAAGTTGGGTGTCTGTTTGAGAATTTTGAAGAGTTGAAGGGACGGATTTGATAATGTTGATTTTGTTTGTCTGGTCTGTTAATGGGGCTGCCGACTGCGGAACTGGTGGGGATTATGCATTTATGTAAATCATCCTGGCCTCACATACGGACCATAACTTTACCTTTACTGTATGTGACTTGTTTTTCGGTCAAATGTTTTCCCCAAACAAACATACCCATAATTTAAATATTTTCAAAATGAATGATACAATATGTATTATGAAAAATAAATTCTAAAATTGAATTTAAACAAAAATAAATTTGTTTAAAATATGGATTGCGTTCAAATTTAAACACTTAAGGCTTGAACTCGTGTTTTATCACTTTTTTTTATTTATAAAAATCGCTAATTTTATTAAAAAGATAAAATATCATAAATTATAATGAATGCCTAAGACCGTAGACGTAAAATAAATACATAATTAGAATTTTTATTATTATCACTGACACCGTAAATTAAATACTTGAGATCATATATGGAAAATATTTAAAACTCATCCAAAAAATTAAAACAAAAGATATATACGAATAAATCTAACTACGTCGGCAAACAAATCACGACAAGAGCTCAAACTATCAAAAGATCATCGACAACTACAAATCAAAATAGAGTGTAATGTGAAGGCTATATACGAACGCAAATAGTGTATATAAATTCAATCCGACCGTCAAAAGCAAGGAAAATCAATATGATAATAAATAAACACAACTTTAACAGTCAAGGTGACATCAAATTCGACATTGAGACAAATAAACGAAAATAACAATCAAACAATTAATAAAAAAGATTAAAAAACGACCAAAAGACATTGAAAAACGTGGAATATAGATAAAATTTTATTAGGAACTTAAAAAAATAAATAAATACGACATATGAAAGTAAAGAAAAAAAAATAAAAAATACCGACGGTCGACTATTAAAACTAATGATGTCACCTTCCAAACAAAGATGAAAAAAAGGAAGTAACAATACGATGTGGAAAAGAAAACCTAGTTTAACCTATTTTAAGTTTATATGCATAATATCAAAATTAGTCCTCAACATTTATTAAAATAAGCAGTTTGATATATATTTTTTGAGAGTATTTTATCCCCAATATTTTACTTTTGGGGGGTGGGGCCCTTTATAGATAAAAACATTAATTAAAACACGACTAACGCTCCAAAATAAGGACGTTTTTTATCCTAAAATAAAATATTGAATGTCAAAATACTTTAAAAAGAATACGAGCCAAACTGATTATTTTTCCAATAGTTAGGGTCCTTTTTACCCTAAAATGAAATGTTGTGAACTAAAATGCTAAAAAAAAGAATAAAAGTCAAGACGATAATTTTAATAAACTTTGGGGGGGGATAAAATAAATTTTTTAATAATTATTTATAAATATAGATAAATTTACATAAAATATAAATTTTATATTTTAAATTAAGATAAATTTAAACAAATATAAAAAGTAAATTGTATTAATCTCGTACACTTTTAATTTTGACCCACGAAATAGTCCAATACAAAATGGATTCAATAATTATTTGGCCCAACAAACCCCAAATTCCTACCCTCCAAATCCAATCCTTCGTATCATCTCTTTCCGTAACATTTTACGTTTCCCGCCTTATCAAAATACCAAAATTTTCGATTTATTTGTGATAATGAAGCATGCCATGAGCAATTAGCAAAATCCAGCACAAGCCCTAAGCAAAATCGTCGGAATGTCCACGTGGCAGATTTTCTCTCACGCCGGATCAGATTATCGATGGGAGGCTTCCGGTCCGGTGCTGCCGTCGAAACCCGATGATGACCTGAACGGAGCTCCGGTTGCTCCACTCCCTTCCATGTCCGATCTCCTTCTTCAAGGTAATGACCTTTGAATCATTTCGCCTCTATATTTGTATTTTTGTGCTCTCAAATTTCATAGACCCTATGCAGCATGTTCGAAACTTATTGAAAACGACGGTGGAGTAGTAGATAAATACCCGATGTTTAGAACCGGATTGGGGAAATCTGTGGCGTTGAAAGAATCTTCAATTGCAAAAGCGTTATCTATCCTTGGTGAAGATGACGCTGCCTCTGCTGTTACACCAAGTACACGCTCCTCTCTTTTACTTTTTTTTGTTTAATAACTATAACTTTTTTGCAATTTAGAAAAGAAACATATGTGATTTAGCTTTTTCTTTTAGTATAGAAGTATAGAACCATGGAATGGTTTCTCTGTTTTTAAAAACCAAATAGCATAGGTTACTAAAACCATTTAGTATATTTACCGAGATGATCATGAAATTGTTGAACCGAACTCGTTTTTTGTTTTAAAGGAAAAACTTGTTACACAGGTAAAGTGATTCCAACGGAAAATGGCCTCGGTAACTCTCTTTTCCAAACGGGCTCCGGGAAAAAGGTTAACATATCTTCAGCTGGTCTGGTCAAAGCTAAGACACTGTTTGGACTGGAGCTCGATAACGAACATGATAAGGAGCATCCAAATTTTGATGGTTTTCAAAGTTCAAAGTGGTTACCTCCAACCAATGAACCTTATGCCTGCCAAAGGTTTTCTCATTCAGAGAAGAAAGAAGGTTTGCAAAATTATGGGGTTATGGATTTTACATCAGAATCAAGGAACTTATTAAACTCTAGTAATGGTTTATTAGGAGGTGAACGAGGCTGTGAAAATGACTCAACTCCGATGCATTCCAAAATGTTTGGTTCAGTTCCCAAGCCACCTCCAATCAAGTTTCATACTGCAGGTGGAAGGTCGTTATTTGTTTCAAGTGAAGCATTGAAGCGTGCAAGGAGTCTTCTTGGTGACCCAGAGCTAGGAGATTTATTTGGTAAAATGGATCAAGAGGTTCCTCCATTTACAGTTTACAAGGAGGAAAAATTTAATGATGCTTCATCAAATAAGGAAAACTGTTTTTTTACTTCCTTTCCCCATCAAGGAACAATGAAGAGTAAAGATACATCCAAGGAGTTCACATCTCCACTGAAATCATCTTTAAAGCAAATGAGATCCATATTCAATTCAGAAAATTTAAGTTTTGGGAGTAATCTGATTGAAAAATTTGATGCAGTTGAAAGTTCTAGTGCTTGTGCATCAGCCGGCAATGTGCCTTCTCCACAAAATGCTTCAGACTCAATCAATAGGATTTCTGAGAAAAAAAATTCAACTTACAGTTCTGGCTCACAGACTAAATTGCCTGGAAAGTCATTTGGTGGGCCATTGGCTGATATTTCAAATAGCATTGATACTCCTCAAACAAATAGCAAGCAGAGGAGAATTGGAAGATCAAGTTTTGTTTCTCCATTCAAGAGACCCCGCTGTTCCAAAATTTCATCTCCATTGTATAAAGACGCTTCCTTTATAGGAAATGGTAAATATATCAGACCCTAAACACTTGTTTAGTTTTATTATTTGTCATTTTGATTTGTTCTCTTTATTAATGATTGTCTTTCTAGTTTCTACTTCTTCAGACGATCATACATGTTGCAAAAGAACAGTTTCTTCTAAATATCCTTTTCGAGTGCAAAGAGTATATGTAAAGGAATATTTTGCCGTGCCTCCATCAGTCTGCAGCACGGTACACAGCTTCTCATTACGGTTGATTGCCTTCAAGAAATTGGTTAATTTCTCAACACTGACACCTGTTTATTTTCCTGAATTGATTTAGTTGAAGTCTTTCTCAGTCAAAGGAAAACAGATCAAACCAGAGAATGCTCATGAGTATTCATTTAAGGATGAATCTGGCTTAACTCGAATCGGGGCAGAAGCCTTTTATGACATGTTACATTCTGGAGCTTCTATGCAATATATTTCTAAAGAGTAATCACCCTTTACCCCTATTCATGCCTGCTTCAAATATTTAGCAGTTAAAAGTTAAAACTCATTTGAATTATTTTCATGTTATACAGTAAATTATGAATAAGTGATGCTACTGTTTGCTAGCTCACAGTTGGCTACCTCCAAGTATTGCTTAATGAATAGCAATTACGAGCTCACTTTATATTTGGGCTTTGCTTGTTTATATTGCTATATGTGCAATGTATTTACCATGTGCATTCTGCTATGCATATTCGTTAAACCATTCCTGTTCACTTGCATGTCTAGGTGGGTTGTAAATCATTATAAGTGGATTGTTTGGAAACTTGCGTGCTATGAGAGGTGCTATCCTTCCAAATGTGCTGCAAAATTTTTGACAATTCACAATGTACTTGAGGAGTTAAAGTACAGGTACCCAATTACAGTCAGTACCATTTATGCTCTGAACTTTTTGTTTGGCAAGATATATCTATAAAGACAATTTATAATCCACCTTTTTAGATATGAGAGGGAAGTAAATCATGGTCATCGTTCTGCAATAAAGAAAATACTTGAAGGAGATTCTTCGCCTTCTTCAATGTTGGTGCTATGTGTTTCAAAAATTCAATCAAGTTCTGAACCTAAGATGGAGACCAATCTAGTGATAACAAATGGAGCTCATAATAGTGGTAATGCAAAAGTGGAACTAACAGACGGGTGGTAGGTAAATTCCAATTTTATTGCTTATGTTACATTGGAAATTTTGGCATGTAAAAGATGTCTACTTACAGGTATTCCATGAATGCTGTTTTGGATGTATTGCTCTCAAAGAAGCTTGCTGCTGGAAAATTGTTCGTGGGACAGAAGCTGCGGGTAATATGTTCATTTATGTTTCAATTTCCGTTTTCAATTAGAGAGTTCTGGAAAAATTTCTCCGTTCTTAAGAACTAATTTATCTTTTCAAGATCTGGGGAGCAGGAATGTGTGGTTGGGTTGGGCCAGTTTCACCCCTTGAGGTTCTTTCTGATTTCAAGTTTTCTAAGGAAATTAAATTCTTGAAATGTTTTTTTCCCATTTATTCTGCTTTACTTGAATTTCAGGCATCCAGTGAAATTAATTTAGTTTTGAACATGAATGGGACGTTTAGAGCTCATTGGGCTGATCGGCTTGGATTTTGTAAGAAATATTTATATTTTCTTGCTAATTTAAATTCTGTTTACTAGTTATAAGTAACTAGAAAAATCAAGATATCCCTTGCCTCCTTAAACATGATTTTCTTATTAATGTCTATAGGTAAAGTTTTTGGTTCTCCTCTGGCATTTAGGTGTATCAAGAGTGATGGGGGTCCAGTCCCTTTGACTTTAGTTGGAGTCACTCGAATATACCCTGTTCTCTACAGGGAGAGGTAACTGTTAAGCGATTTGTGTGCAGTTTTAGGTTAAAAATGAAACTGCATGGAATGCTTTAATTTTAATTGTGTTATTCTTTTTCCATCTAGGTTGAAAAATGGGGGATCAATTGTCAGATCTGATAGGATGGAGAGTAGAATGGCGCAACAGCACAATCAAAGGTGACCACTATATTCTGTGCACGTTTTAAAATGTTAGAATCCGCCTTTGTAATTTGTAATTTCATATCATAGTGGTGTGGAGCTTAGATGTAATGCATTGAACTGCTGCACTTTATCAAGGCATGCACATAGTTTTCTGCAGTCAGCCTTTTGCCAGCCTTTCGGTGATCAACTTCGGCATTTTGTGCTTTACCAACTAATAGTTCTCTTTATTAGACTGTCTTGTTTCCTAGAGGAGAACTGTTTTTATAAGAAAGAATTGCTATGCCTTTCAACTTAATAATTATTCTTTCTTCACTAGTCATATGTGTTTATCAGACATTTGGTTATTCTGATTCTATCAATGCTCGTTGCATAAAGGTCTACGATGTGCTCTCAAGAATATCAACTGGTTAATGCTACCAGTAAGATTCTTCTTAACATCCTTAAATATTCAATTGGCTGGCGTTTGGTAATAGAAGAGGAAAACCAAACTTCTACAAATGTGAAATAATAGAACCAGTATTCTATCTGGAAATCTTTGGAGTTATGGTTTAAAAGGTTGTGTACTTGTAGATCATGCTTGATATTTTCCTGCTGCAGGTGCTCAGTTCTTGTAGATCATGTTATATCTGAGTATCAAAGACAGGTCAATAGTTCTCTTCTCCTTAATGACAGTGAGAGTGAAGGAGCGAAAATCTTAAAAATTCTTGAGACATCTGCCGAGCCAGAAGTCCTTATGGCAGAAATGAGTCCCGAGCAACTTACTTCCTTTGCTACATATAAATCAAAACTTGAGGTGCATTTCAGCTCTTTGCTTGAAAGAAAGATCTTATAATGGATTGATATTCAACCATGCAGATGTGAGTGTAGGCTACCAGACAGTTAGAGATGGAGAAATCAATTGAGAAAGCTCTGGAGCAGGCTGGCTTAAATGATCGAGATGTTGTCCCATTCATGAGGATTAGAGTTGTTGGATTAACTAACAGGAATTATCATGGAAAGGGAAGAGCTAAAGAAGGAATAATAACCATTTGGAATCCAACAGAAAAGCAGGTGAATCTGAAATGGAATATTGCTCTACTTTTTTCTTCATATCCTTGTGCATGAGGACTTTCTCAGTTTCTGCTCTTACAAGCATTTGTTATACAATTTATTGAATAGTTTGATTATGAAGATAAGTATGACTGAAACAGGAAAGTGAGCTAGTTGAGGGGCAGGCATATGCCGTTTCTGGGCTTATGCCAATGAACTCAGATTCAGAAATCCTTTACTTACAAGCCCGAGGATCTACCACCAAATGGCAGCCTCTATCTCCCCTGGAAATGGAAAGCTTTGAGTAAGTTTGCATCTGCATTCTGTTTACCACAATTGGTTCCAGGCTTCCAACTCATGTGTGTCCTAACAGGCCATTTTTCTGCCCGCGGAAGCCGATGAAATTGTCAAATTTAGGTGAAATTTCTCTTTCCAGGTGATTCTCTCTCCTCTACTTCTTGCTCGAATGCCTAGCTATTTTCTTATGAAGATCTCGATATCCTCACTGAGGTTTCATTTGGGTTATTTATTCAGTGAGTTTGACATTGCGGCATATGTTGTGTATGTGGGAGAAGTCTACACAGCTTCTCATCAGAAAAAACAGTGGGTGTTTGTGACAGATGATTCCATTTCTGATCCACAGTCAGGACTTTCAAATTCTTTACTTGCTATCAGCTTTTGCTCACCATCCATTGATGATGACTCATTTGCACCAATCAACTCTAACCTAGTACGATCCATGGTGAGTTGTATTTGTTTTAAAATCCAGAATGGGGTTTTCTTTTTAAACCCATCGGATTTAAAAAACTTTCGAAAAAAATTGTTAGCAAGACATGACAGTTCTTGGTTATAGCAATTGAATGATCGATACACAAGGACTATTTGAACTAACTACATGCTAGATAAATATTTTTGATAATGATGCTTTATCTGACTGAGAACTTCAGGTAAATTAAGTTATGAGGTACGTACTTGTGCATATTAATTATTGAGCCAATGCATTATTGGTTTGCCTTGTGACTGCAGCATTATAATCTACAAATACATTTACTCTCCTCGTTTAAAGGCTATACAGAAGTCATCATTCTTTCTTGTTCATTTCGACTTGTTTCGTTTAAACAGTGACTAATTACAAAATCTTTGCAGGTAGGCTTCTGCAACCTTATTAAGAAACCAAAGGATCAAATGAATCATCTCTGGGTGGCAGAAGCAACAGAAAATTCTTCATATCATTTAAATTTTAATCCTTCAATGTCTCACCTTAAAAGTGCTGGTGCTTCTGTTCAGGCATGGGCAAAGACCTCTAACTCGGTACGCCTTATCAAATTTTAGAAGTGATTTGATCATTTGACAGAATTTATCCTTGATGCTGGTATTTTATTTACATTTACTACGTTTGTTCATGCAGATTATCAACGAACTCCGGAAAAAAGTTTCATTTGTTATTGGCAATTGTGAAGGGTAGCTAGCATGGGAAGGAGCTGATTTGGAATTTTAGATCGACCAACACAAACAGTAAGCACCCTTGCATATCAAATGGATGCTTAGTCTTGGATTGTTTGATATCAAAGATGAGGTAGCTGTATGTATTAGTCGTCTCTTTTCAGGATTAACATTAATTGCAGAAGGCTAGTGCTAGTTTCTTTCCTTTATCTGTTGTGCTTTCTAGAAATATTGGAAACTGATATGAAGTCCAGTTTATACCAGACAGGTAGCTTGATTTGGTTAAAATATGGTAAAACACAGCTCAGGTCACTCAATTATTAGTTTGATTACAAATGAGTTACTTTTTTTCTTCTAAAAGTTATAATTTAGTCACTCAATCAAAATATTGTTACAAATAGGTTACTAACAGTAAAACATTAGAAGAACAGTGACGTGGGCTGGTATAATTATAGTTTTGGTCCTCAAAACTTATACATCTGATTAATTTGGTTCTCATTCAAAACAATTAATTAAATTTAACCCTTGATATTTAAAAACTCTATCAATTTAGTCTTTGTGCTTCTTCTAGAAATGCTATATTATTTTTCCTCTTACTTTCTTGGTATAATAACGGTTTAACAGTAACTTATTGCTTTAAAGTAGAACTCAATTATCCAATTGTTGGTTTGATTAGACGGGCTCATCTGGTTTGACATTATAGCAAAAAGGGACTAAATTAATGGAGTTTTTAAATATGAATTGTTAAATTTATTGAATTGTTTTGAATTAGGACTAAATTGATAGAATGTATAAGTTTTGGGATTGAAGAAATGAGTTTGGCCTTTGCCATTCTCGAACCTAATCTAGGGTTGGTTGCCCCTAAATACAAATTTGGATGTAAAAGGAAAAAAATAGAATAATTTATTTTTGTTAAAGTTTGGGTTGTTAATGAACAAGGAATGCATAGTGTTGGCCTTCAATTTTTGTACTCTTATTCCATGCACACTCATTGTAAAGGTAGTGTTTTATTTTATTTTGCAGGAGTATCATATTACTCTAGGTATATATTGTTATTATAATTATATTTAGGGGTAAACTACAAGTTTAGTGCCTAAACTATTATTTTGGTTTCATTTTGGTGCCCAAACTTTATTTTATTTCAAAACTATATTTAACGTTTAGTATAGGTTTCAATTTGGTATCTTGCTGCTAAAATTTAATGGGGATGTTGACGTGTCACTATAAGGAAATGATATGTCATCATTGAAAAAAATGTCAAACTAGTAGTTTTGTTAATTTTTTAATGATGAGAAACTAAACTGAAATTTAAACAAAACATTAATTATGATTTAAAAAAATAAAGATTGGGTACTAAAATGAGACAAAAGTAATAGTTTATATACTAAATGTTTAATTTACCCTTATATTTATTTGTTGTGCAAGTATTCGGACTTGAATTTAACTACCATTTATTCACCCGATTTGATATAGAAATTTAATTATAAATATTCCAACGGACTTATCCAATCCGGTTTAATGTAATTTTTAATTTAGTTTCTAAAATTAAAAAATAATTAAATAAAATATTAATTTATCGAAGTTAGTGACATAAAATCAAGGGTAAATCATAACTATGACCACTTAACTATTACTCTTTTTCATTGACCATTGATCTTTCAATTTCATCAATCAAACATCTAATTGTTCAAGTGTTCTAATCAAGTCACTAAACGTTATGACATGATTGTTAAAAATTTGATATAATTATACATTAAGTCCTTAGTATTTATACATCTTATTAATTTGGTCCTACTTTTAATAATTAATAAATTCAGAACTAGAAATACTTGATAAATTCAACACTACAACTTTAATAATTCCTCATTTTTTTTAAGAGGACCAATTTCTCCATTTTCCAAATTGAGGGAGTTGTGAGATATGTACACTATCTGCATAGTCTTACGTTCTTTTTAGGAATAATTTTCGAAATTCTAGGGTTGTTTAATCATGAGAGGAGTAATCTATGTCTTACTCGTGTATAGTTATTGAACGTTAAATTGATCAATACTCAATAAAACCTTATATTCACCCCCAAATGCCTCATCATAAACTATTTAACTCTCAATTCCATCTTAATGCATCACCGGCAAAAAGATTATTGTTCCTTTTGGCTTATCTTTCTAAAGCAAGATGGTAAGGTTTCCTTTGGTTGTATTCTCAATATCTATGATTCTTTCGAATCGATTTACAATAGGGCTAAAGAAAATAGAAATCCTTCGTCGGTTGAAGTATCCCTGGAAGATGAAAAACAACTGTTCTATGTAACTCTGGAGGACACCCTGGAAATGATGGCGAGTGCCGGATTAATAAATCGAGATGTCGTGAACAAGAAACTCTATCCGGGGGAAGCAAAGACTTTAGCACCCGAATTTGATTTGATGATCACTCGAGCCATTGAAATGGCTAGAAGGGTTGATAAAGATAATGCTGATGCTTTAAAGGCTAAACATGATCACCCATAGAGATGCACATTTAATGTTATTGATTTAAAGGCTATAAAGTATTCTCAAAGTTGAAATAAAATCATTTTCGAGCTAGAATTCAATAAAAATAGAGGAAGTGTTGTTAAAAAAATTGAAAGTTTAGGTACTAAAACCGATAGTTTCGCTTAATTTACCCTAAAACTTAAAATGCTAGTCTTTTCTTAAAAGTTAGAATCTATTGATTTTGAATCCATTAAGCGAATATGACAATTAAAAGGAAGTGTTGTTATTACTAAAGATATTGAATTCGAGCAATTAATCTATAGGCTCATTATCAATTAAAGACATAAAAATAGGTGGAATCAGATTTTGATACGTTCGAATTCGTCCTTGAATCTTTATGCAAATGCCCAAGGATAAATTTTTTTAGGTTTTCTTGACTTCTTTACATATTTTGCCTCTCTCCCTGTATAGTGCTTGTCTTATTCTCCCTATCTTTGTTTCTTTCCTAGGGTATATGTTCTTACTCTTTAAATCTTTTTTCTTGTTTAATTTTCTTCTTATTTTTCATTTTGTTTTAGTAATTTTTCATATTTCTTGTGTAATTTTCCGATCCTTTATAACTGAGTTTTATAATATTGATGAAGACGTTTGATCGAATCGGAGATGTCACAGATTAACTATAAAACGATTTCAAATTTAATTTTGTTCCAAATTAAACATTAAAATTCAATTATCATCATTGGGGTGCTACGTTCATTAAAACTCAATTATCATCTATAACTTTAAAATATGATTTAATCCCTATGTTATTAGAATGCATTTTTAAATATTTTCCAATTAGTTTCTAGTCATTTAAGCAATATGCTTCTAAAGGGTACCGAATTCTTCAAAATTTGTGTCGCACGTCCTGCCCCTGCAACTCCGGTCGGGATCAGTGGTGATCTACAACCTCAAGCCTCCAAACCTCCTTCCATAGGTACAAAAGATGGAACAGTAATTCATTCCACACATCAGGCACACCAGGCAAGCACCAGTGCATGCAGTCAGAGTAGCTTGCAGGGTTTCCCAATTGCTGTGGGCTCAGTGTCTCCCAGAATTTCCTATAGGTGGAAGGGTGCCCATCTTTTCGATATTCCGAGAGCCGTGTGACTTTGATGACCGATACCTTCGAACCCAAACGGGAAATCAATCCATCCACCATGCGCATGGTAGCCAAGTTCGAACCACTTCCCAGTACTCCTTCCAATCGATAGGCCTCGTTTCGCTATAGCAGTTTCCTTCAATTCCAGCTTCCCACTCTCTTTTCCTAATCATGTCAAAATGTTGGCAGAAAGCTCATATCAGATGCCGAGCACCGAATGGGATTCAAAAGCAAATATGATCCACTAGGATCGCATAATTTTCATGCAAGTAATTCCTATATACTCCTATAAGGAAACCCCAGCAGGAGCATACCATAGAAGCTTTATTTCTCACACAACTCTATTCAAGTACAGCCCAACGATAGTAGTGTTAGCGCCTCCATAGTGCACTATTAGTCTTAGAATTCATCCATCTTTGCTTCAAATGCCTCTAAGCTATGATTTATGGCATTTGATAAGTTACCAGGCTTTCACTAGATTACTTATCCGGGCAATAGTCCTTATAGCGCATCCCTAGTGCGCTATTAGTCTTAGAATTCATCCATCTTTGCTTCAAATGCCTCTAAGCTATGATTTACAGCATTCGATAAGTTTGCAGGCCATCACTAGATTACTTATCCGGGCAATAGTCCTTATAGGCTTGTAGCGCCTCCGTGATGCACTATTAGTCTTGGGATTCATCTATCATTGCTTCAAATGCTTCTATGCTATGATTTATGGCATTCAATAAGTTTGCAGGCTTTCGATAGACGATTTATGCAGATGATATAGATAAGTATAGAACAATTCAGTTTAGGGGTAAAGATCCATCCTCACCAGAAATGTGTCGGCGACATCGTAACAAAAAAGACACGTTTCTTGAGGGCAATGACCTTTGATGCTACCCAGTCTGCCCAAGCTCCCATGGCCAGTTCCATTGCTCCTAAACCGTCGAGCTCCTCGCAGGCTTCATTTTCCTCACCGCTCCACCTGCAAAAGTTGCAAGCATATTAGGGAATTCAACACATCTTCAATATATTTTCACCATAATTAAACTAGAACCGAACAACCATTGTAAGTACAACATCTTAACCGGGCCTTGTCTCTACCATAAGTACGAGTTAAAAACTAGTATATCTGCATGCTCCCATTGTGCTGAATGCTTGAGTACCGAATCTGGACGGATGATTCGTTCAGCCAGTCTGTGTTTCACCGGATAATCAGAATTGGACTCGACCAGTAGCGGAGCCCAGAGAAATTCCACCGTCGCATTATATTCCTGCAAACGACACAAGAATAGCACAATCGGCAACAATGTGCTGCGACGCGATATCAGATAACCAAGATCTATCACCTGCATTATATTCGTTGTTTCCCGGCTTACCTCTGCTCTGAAAATTGTGAGCTGGGCATTAGGATTCATCGATCTCTTATTTGCCGGGATCACCGACTGCAACAAACACACCATTGATATCCATTGGTTTCTATTCAGAGAATCTCCCACAAACATCAGTCTCTTCCCCCTCAACTTCTCCCACATTTCGATCGCATTCCATCTACACAAAGGAGCGAAAAATCACATCCAGTTCTTCACATTGCATCAGTCGCCTGTGTTGTTCGGACTCGGAGTCTACATTTTCTTGAAGTACAAACGTGTCCGACACTCCGATACATGGATACAGGGATATGGCCCCCGAGTATCCTCTGAACAAACGAAAAAGCATAGAAAAATCTAACTAATCCTGTGTCGAATACTCCGCCACCGACCCGATTCCGCCTCCAGGTCGGCCTACCGGTTTTCTTCCCACTGAAGTTCCTAGTAGAGTTGCAGCCACTGAATCTATCCAAAACCTCTAAAACCCCACACAAATAGATACCCAAACCCCAGTTATTCTTCGATCAAAAGAAGAGGAAACAAAAGGTTGAAGACAGATAAAACACACCTGAAGCTCGTTGAGGAAGATTTGGTTTGACATAAGTAGATGGAGTCGGTTGACTGCTGGGAACATGATCCGTGCTTTCATGGATCCGTTGAACGCTGAATTCGTTGTAGAGAACCGAACAAGCTATGAAAATAAAAAGTACAGCGAGTAAAGGGAAGTGTGGTTTCTTTCTGCTCCATTTACTCGACATGGACATGGTTGGCGGCATAGCCATGGGATCAAGCAGATAGCAGGAAGGCTCTGCCACTCAAACAAACAAGTAATTACTCCTTTTGGTTACTAAAAACGAAAGGTTTTAAGGTAAATGAATTGGAGTTTGATAATTAATACTTTTAATAAAAAAAGTTAATGAAAATTGGGTAATCAAACAGTCTCTTAATTAGCTGTAATTAAGGTTGGATTATTCATCCTTGTTCCCACGTTTTATTGGAGGTTGTGTAATAATTATTTATTAGGGAATCATATGTACACTGATTTATTTTCATAGTTTAATTTGAAGTCTATGCAAAGTTGTTGGGGGCAATTTGAATATTTGTACCAAGTGATGATTGTGTTAAGAATTATAGTTAGATTTGGATGGAAGAGTGTTGGGATGTGATCGTACCCTTTAAAATTTTAGAGTTAATTATACGATTGATCACTATGTTTGTATTTTGCCCATTTCTCCTCACTGATTTCAGAAAACATAATATATTGGTTAACTTAATTTTAATTTAAGTTAATATTTTTTATTTTAATATATGGTTAACTTTATTTTAATAAATTAAATATATTTAATTAAAATAAAGTTAGCTCTCTAACCGAATGGTGATACGTGACACGTCACGTGGAATCATTCGATTGAATGATTAAATTTATTTTAATTTATTAAAAGTATGTATGAATTGAGAGAATATGTAAATAACATGGACCAAATGTGTGATTATACCAAAATACCACATCACATAATCAGTTAACTTTAAACAACAGTTAAACCGTGGTGACCACATCTTAATTAAATAAAAACAAAATTAACCATATCTTAATTAAATAAAAACAAAGTGATCATATATGATGTTTTTTGAAATATGTGAGGAAAAATGGACAAAACATAAACATAAATAATCAATCATGTAGTTAATCCAAAATTTTATGAAGGCTTAAATATACAAAAAGGTGTCCAACCTATGCTCATTTTTCAGTTTAGTGTTTAACGTTTATTTCTTTTTAGTTTAGTGTCTAACGTTTATTCTGTTACTCAAAATGGGTCAAGTCATGATAGACCGTTAAGTTTGGTTGTTTAGTGACACGTGTCACAACCTAGTAATTTTAAATTTTTTTATTTAAAATTAAAATTAAAAAAGTGTATATATATATATATATATATATATATATTAAGTTTTCTTTTTTGAAATAAACCAAAACTTTGAAAACTTTCATTTCAACACCTAAACCCACGCCAGCCGTCAGTTTTTGTCGTCGACGAAGCTCTACCCGACCTCCCCTCGGTGACCAAAACTCCCATGAAATAGTGACCGATCGATGGTCGATCGGCCGTCGGAATCGCGATTTTCATCATAGGGTTCGTGGGGTATAAAACGTTGATTTGTCATCGATCGACTACGATTTCATGAGGGTTTTGGTCACCGAGAGGAGGGGAGATCGGGTGGAGCTTTGTCGACGGAAAAAGGCAGTGGCCGACGTGGGTTTAAGGGTTGAAATGAAGGTTTTCAAAGTTTTGGATTTATTTCAAAATTTATGTTTTCTTTTAATATATATATATATATATATATATATATATAATTTTAATTTTTTAATTTTAAATATAAATTTTTAAAATTATCAGGTTGTGGCACGTTTAACTTAACGGAGAAATTGACGTCGTTAACAGCCTAGGCACCTAAATGAGTAATGAAATGAAACATTAGATACCGAACTAGAACGAAATAAACGTTAAGTTCTAAAAATTGAAAAAAAAAATGACATATGTTGGACACCTTTTTATATATTTAAGCCTTTTATGAAAACATTACCGCAATATCTTTTCTTGTCATAACCAACGAAAAATTTCGCCGATAAGTAAGCTTTTTCAACATTCTGCTTGGAAAGGGCCGACCTTGAATGGGAGTAGATAAACCCAAAATCATGCTGATAACATCTTAGGCAAACATAACTTAAAAATTTTAAAATTAAATTCGATTCAATTCGAAAGCTTGCGAGCTTAAAATTATTAAATTCTACTTGAACTCGGAACAAAAAATTAAAATTCGACTAAAAAACTCACGAGCTTAAAATTTTTAAGCTTAACTTGAAATCAAAACTTAATACTCAACTCCAGCTCGAAAAATAAACTTAAACTCAAAACATTCTCAAATTTAACTCGATTGAAACTCAAACCTGAACATTAAATACATAAAAACATTATATTATATTTAAAAATTAAAATTTTCATATATCATTTTTTTCAGGTTGCTGCCGAACTTTTCGAATCAAATATCAAGCAACTTACTTCAACTCGTTAAGAACTCAACTTGAATTCTTCAAGCTCAAGTTAAATCCATTCGATTCAAGTGTTAAGCAAACTTGAACCAAACCAATCTCAAATAACTCACAATCTGTCTCGTCTCATTTACATCAATATACAAGTTAGCAATAAGAAGAACGAGTAGGCAAAAAGTTTCTAACGTTCGATGGGCAAGACCCTGCAAGAGGCTCCACAAACAATGTCACTTAGATTTGTTTGAGATAAATTTCACATTCAGTGCAAGTGCAATTGCATTGCTTCCAGTAAAAAGAAGTGCATGCACAAGAAGGTATGAGAAGTAAATACTTCAAAGCCAATTATGATGTCAGTAACAATAACTTGAATGTCAAGAAACAAAAACGGTGGAGGAAGCAACTCTTATTTAACCAACAAAAGCATTAATATCCAAAAAAACATCCAAGTATTTGATAATTACCAAAAAACACCCAACAGAACAAGTAAAAAGTTCTCAAAATTTTGCTCACAGGTCCATGATTAAAACAACTATAGCATCCTTATAATAAACTACTGCAGCAATACATATCTGGATATCTTATGGTGAAGTTTAAGCAGCAGCATTTTGTGCTGCAAGCCTCTTCCTAGCTTCCTCAATAATGGATAACTTGATACCCTTGCCCTTAGGAAGAGACACCAATGGCTTTGTTCCTTTTCCAATAGTGAAGACATTACCGAGACGAGTAGCAAACTCATGCCCGGCAGCATCTTGAACATGGATCGTCTCAAAGCTGCCCTTGTGCTTCTCCCTATTCTTAATTACTCCGACTCGCCCTCTGTTCCTCCCTCCAGTGACCATGACAACATTCCCGACATCAAACTTGATGAAATCAACAATCTTGTTGCTTTCAAGGTCTAGCTTGATGATGTCATTGGCCTTGATCAAAGGATCCGGGTAACGGATAGTGCGCCCATCATATGTATTTAGGTATGGGATACCTTTCTGGCCAAACTGGACAGATCGAACCTTGCAAAGCTTGAACTGCACAGAGCAAAAAAGAACACACATACAATACTGCTACAACTGAAAGGGTGAAGAAAGTTGGAAAACTTAAGTACTATATTACAATTGTGACAAGAACTAGCAGCAGATCAAATCGAATATGAATATTCAAACCTTAGTTTCATCACCAGTGATAGCATGGAGACGGAAACGCCCTTTGGTGTCATAAAGTAGACGGAAATCCTCATTGGTTTTAGGAATGGACACAACATCTGGCAGAAGGTAGTAAAGCATGGTTAGGCAATATCCGGAATATTTTTAGAAAGGCAGATAGAAAGGAAACAAATCCTGAAAATGTAGCTTTTAAAGCTAACCAGGAACAGAACAGTGCTTAACTACAAGATTGTCAATGATTTGATCATAGGATTCCAATGTAATGTGAAAAACAGAGTAACAAACCGAAGCATTTAATTCAACTAAATACATTGCATACTGAGAATCCAAAATATTTAAAATTGACAAAATCAGCCCAGGAAGTGAAGAGTATACATACCCATGAAACCAGCAGGATAGGTCTTATCTGTCCTAACCTTTCCATCAACCATAACATGCCTCTGCATGAGAATAGCAATGACTTCTCTATAGGTGAGAGCATACTTCAATCGATTTCGCAGAATAAGGATCAATGGCAAGCATTCCCTGGACTTGTGGGGACCAGAAGATGGCTTGGGTGCCTACAAAGACAAAAACCGCAAACAAAATTAGAACCTTGACAGATGAATCAAGAAGGTAAACCGCTCCAAAAAGAGAACTGAAAAGGATAAAGAAAAACAGTAAACTTTTATGGAGGTGAAGGAATAAAGATGATAACATACAAAAGCACCACCAAGCTTGTCAAGCATCCAATGCCTAGGGGCATTAAGCCTCTTCAAATGTTTCTTCAACCCTCTAGCCTGTAACACACCACAATCCAAAACATGTTTGTTAACGAAACCGAAAGTACAAGATATAAAAAATATATTGCAAATGAAACTGAAATGTACATGATGCCAAATTGTCAAGCCATTTCAAACAGGGATGAACACAAAATCTAATGTTATGTGGAAAACTAAAAAAATTCTAGGGGAGCGAAAACAGATTATCAATAGAAAATACAAAGAAAACACGGAAATTATAGAAGAATTTAATATTTTCAAGGGAGACCACGCCGCCATTCTCCATGTAGAGCAGGTAAATTTTCAAGGTGCCATTACGCATCAAACACTAATTAAGAAAGGAATTAGCTAGATCCAGGCTATTAAGACTACTATTACCACCCAAAACACAGACATTCAAATGTCCAATACAACAAAGAACGGTAGGAATCACAGGAAACCCATAAATCATAAATATTCCAAATCAATGAAGATGGATCACTTTTCATCTGTTCAGAAAGCTAACTCAAGGCGTTAAACAACAGTAATAAGCCAAACTACTATGGAATATCCTAAACAGAAAAACCATGAAACTCACATAACTTATCAAAGAATGAAAAAGAATTAGGGAAATGATCAGTGAATCAAAGTTGAGAAAAGCAGAGGAAACTGACCATCTTGGAGAAAAGAGGCTGCTGTGCTCAAAGTCCGTGTCTAGCTAGTCTCAAAAACAAGAAACCCTAAAAACTGTATGTATTAATAGGATGAGGGCATTATAGGATCATCGACCCAGATATGGATTGGACGTCTGCCATAAACGAAACAATGTTTATGGGCCTTAAGCCCAGAAAAGGTAATTTGTGTATAACATATATAAACAACTTAATTAAAAAAATAAACGTTTAAATTATATCTC